GCTTTTCTTACACGATAGAATATTTGTGTAACAAATATTGCGAATGTTTGTTACTGCCTCCTTCTCTTCAGTGTGTTAAACAACAACAACAACGTCAATGTTGTATTTGATGGTAGAAGGTGCTAAGTCAGTATTTAGCTTTTCTTACACGATAGAATATTTGTGTAACAAATATTGCGAATGTTTATTACGGCCTCCTTCTCTTTAGTGTATTAAACAACAACAACAACGTCAATGTTGTATTTGATGGTAGAAGGTGCTAAGTCAGTATTTAGCTTTTCTTACACGATAGAATATTTGTGTAACAAATATTGCAAATGTTTATTACGGCCTCCTTCTCTTCAGTGTGTTAAACAACAAACAACAACGTCAATGTTGTATTTGATGGTAGAAGGTGCTAAGTCAGTATTTAGAAGGAAATATCATTAGAGCAACTTCTGTCTTCCATGGGGACCTCAATTAGGAAAATAATACTATTACTTAATGTATTGCCCCCCAGTGGCACAGCGGTATGTCTGCGGACTTACAACGCTAGAAACCGGGTTTCGATACCGTGGTGGGCAGAGCACAGATAGCCCATTGTGTAGCTTTGTGCATAAATTCAAAACAAACAAACTTAATGTATTTCTATACTGTAGTATGATACTATCCAGCATGGAGGATGCTTCTAATTTTTGCTGAGTACTATAGTAATGATATGCAAAGAACGTAACTTTGTTGAGTTGCACGCTCTTATTTTTGAAAAATAAAATAAACACGTGCTTCCATTACAAAATCAAAAATGAATAAAATTATAAAGATGAGTACAAGTATGGATCTTTATAGCTATGTGCCTTGTAAAGAGAATTAAAAAAACCGTAGTGTAGACGTATTTCTTTCTCTTTAACTTTTTCTTTTTTTCCTATATAATAATATAGAGTTTCTTTGCATATGTATTCTGCCTGCCCCATTTATCCTTCCATATTAACTCGAGTTTGTTATTAAGTGAGGCATAAAGACTTTCCGGTGCATTAAACAATGAAAGCTTTTGTCTCTTAGAGTTTGTAATTTATTTTTAACCATCATAATACTTTTCTCTTTCTAAGCATTGACGTTTTAGTGAACATAATTAATATTCTTATTTTCCACTTATATTTCCTATCCATCGTAAAATATTCTCAAACGGAAATTGGTCGCTTTTTATTATACTGTAAAATGGCATGGATCTGAATACGTCGTAGTGAAGTGTCATCCGAATATGTTAATATTTCACTATGGAAGAATCTTAACCAAAAGTGAGTCTTAATACTGTCATTGTTACGGAAATATTATCATTAATGCTATTGTCATTGTTACGAAAATGTTATCATTAATGCTAGTACTAAGGTGTTCGACTATGATCAAGCTGGTTATTGACTTTTCTTCAATACGCGTAATTCAATTAGATGGTGCTGTTTATTTCAACTAAAGAAAAGGAATACGTAACTGTAGTTGAAGTTCAGTCTGTCTAAACATGAAAACCTTTCACTTCATTTTGTATATTTTTTTAATCTGTAAGCTAAACACTGAGGCAAAACAGACTTTGAGAACACCACAGCTAAAAATGTTTAGTTAATGCTGTATGATTTTACCCTTCGTGTTTTAGTATAATTGTTCTCGGACTTTATCGGACATATTTCCCAGCAATGAACTTACATATATATACGCTTGTATACTCCCAATTCGAAGCTAAACGAAGCCAAGTTCATATTACGTACATAACAATAGTATAGGTTAATTTCATGTATTTCAAGAAGTAGGAAAAACGTTTTTCTCATTAATAAGTATGTAAGGAATAATACGAAAATCAGGAATAAATTTAAAATACGCACGTTTTATGTTGACAGAAAACAAACAATAAAAAGAAACTATCCATTTAGTGTGCTACTAAAAGAAGTGTCTGGGTGTGAGCTAATTGTTAACGTACCGAGCTGCGGATTGGAAAGTTTAAAACTCGAGTCCGCGATATACCGCTGAATACCCCCCCCCCCCCTCACTTTTGGATGTGAGCGCGTTAGGAAAGTGACAACCAGTCCCGCTATCCGTCTAAGAGTAGTCGTGTATGCGACGGGCGCCGCTGACTGGTTGCCCTCACTCTGGTAACATTTAAGGCTATGTCTGAACCTTGGAGTCTGATCTGGTCTAAACGTTTAGCTCATTTATTAAATGAGGAACCGTTCAAGTTGAAAGTGCTAAATACTACCCAAATAAAATTTAAAAAATGCAAGTAAAACAATCGGTATTGAAAGAAAAAGTGTCGAGTAAATTTTTGATTTAAGAAACAACAGAATTTCATAAAAAATTAAATAGTGGTAGTTAAACTGTATAGAAGTTGTCAATGTTATTATAATTTTGCAATCCTTACCAGAAATATCATGGTATCAGATTTCCATATTGGAAACGCTGACGTCCATTACCGTTTCTAGAATTTATTAGAAGGAAAGAGAAATCCCGGATATTAAAACGTTGGTTTATTTTACCAGATCTGTTTTTCAAGGTTTGCATGACTTGTTTCTACAGCACCATCGTGTAGACATACCGTCATTAGAATGGCGCGAGAAACGTGGGACGAGGCTACAATTGGAATTAAGCAAGTGGCTTTAATATCGCCTTCTTGCAAGTCGATGGATTTTCAATTAACGATTCGTTTTTCTGGTCTTGCTCAAAGTAAGAACAAAGACCGGATTTTTCTTTACGCGCACGTTGAATACATACATTTTTTTATTTTTTTTATAAATAAACAAATAAACTTTACATTATGTTTTAAAAATTATCCCTGTAACATTTCAGCATTAGTGAACTACAAGTATCAGCTCTTTGAAAGTTATATATTTAATTCTTGTGTAAAGATTAATTATCATCTCATAGTTTCCAGGTGTGATGTAAAGGTTCCAACCTGCTGACTGCGATATTCGATAGAAAGGACCATTTGGAGAAATTATACATTTCAAATATTTCTTCAAAGTCAATAACGAAATGTATACTATCATATAATGATGCCTTCTCAGTAGGGAAAAGGTCTTAAAAATTACAACCAAATGTCTGCTCCCATTTATTGATAACCACTGAGCCATTTTGAAGGCTTATAACGCTAAAATTCGGGGTTCGATTCCTGTTATTGGCACAGCTCTTAACAACAAACAAAAACCGATTAATTATAGGGGCCAATTTTAGCATCTAACCGCCAATATGAATAAGTAATGGTGAACATTTTACAATAGAAATACTTTTTATTTCCGCTTAAACTTATCACTTGATAAAACAAAATAAAAGAAATATCGACACGAGTTAGGTACTGATATTCTAATATATAAAAATAATCTGTGTTCCAACTACTGAAACTAAAACATGGTAGAATGTGTCTAGTAATAGAATATTCAATATTTTAAAACCATTTTCCTATCATATAATCGGGAAACAATAAACGCTGACACATACCAAAATTAACTTTTAAGCAGTATTGATGAAAAGTTAGTTAAGACTTGGCTCAGACTAAGTGCCGATGGAAAGATAAAAGCCACTAAACAGAGTATTGAAGTACATTGTTCTCGTATGCCAATTCGTGCATAGCTTTTAGATTAACATTCTGTCTATTTTAATCGTCTTAAAAGCTCTACGTTTAGATTATCATTCGTTGCTTCTCAGCAACTTATAATATATTTCCCTGATGTAATATGGGTTTTAAACTATGCTATTAAAGCATTAAACACATCATAATTTCAAAACTTCGTCTTTATTATATGTACATCAAACACGTGAAGCAAAGTTGGTTGACTTAGGTCTCATTTTATTTATGTTATGCACGGAAAGTTAAATTCGTTTTCTCAGTACAAAGCGAACTTAATTTATTTACATATTAAATTAATTTGTAATTTTTTAGCGCTCCCTATTTGATGTTTTAAACGAACTACGAGAGTATGAACTTTTTTAACGAACTGAATCATTTGCTTTAAAGTTATTACGCATTCAGCAAACAGTATTGAATTAGAATGACCTTTAAGTTAGGGGCATTGTAACAGAAGTACTCTGTTACTCTCGTTTTGATCATCGTTCGTAAGTTGAAGCCTGTTTGTCTTGATTCAGTTATTTTTACGAAGCACTCCTAAAGAAGATGAAGTTTCAGAAAATAGTACATATACTGTCCTGATGATGAAACCAACATTGCATAGCATATGTTGACGTAACACTTACTAAAGCGAGAGGTGAAAAATTGAAGCTTACAAATCGGTCTGTTTGTTTGCTGTTAAGCACATAGCTACACAATGGACTATCTGTGCCTTGCCCACCTTAGGGATCGAAATCCGATTTTTATCGTTATAAGCCTTTAGATTTGCCGCCGAGTCACGGGGGGGGGGCAGAAAGGGGGTTAGGAATACGATACAAATCCTGTGTTGTTAGTTTTGTAGTATGTGTATCGTAAACCTTAAGAAAGGTCAAAGTTTAATTACCTTGTGATGTCAGACTAGTTCCTTCCCCACCTAATTTCTAAACATAAACGTGTAATTCAAATTTCATTTTATGGTAAGCTGTATGGATCCTAATAACAAATGACTAGAGTTTTTATGTTTTTTTATTTTTGATATCAAATTCCCATAAGTGTTGTTGGTTATAATGCATAAAATAAGTTGTCAATTTGTTGAGTTAATATTGCACGTAGGAAAATTATTTTCCATTCTTGGCTTAGTATATGAAGTTAGGACTAACCTATATCTCTTAAACGTGCCAAATCTTGTGAGATATTTTTGGATCATAGCCTAAGACATTGCTAACAGCTAGGATATTCACCCGATGATTCAGTGCATTCTAATTATTATTTGTTTTAGCTTTCTTCCGTATTGATTTGTATAAGAGGAAGTGCTTCTATATAGTTTGATATATGTAAAGGATTAAAACTTGCGTTATTTTAATCCTGTATAGTTAGCTTACTTTTCACCAGACTGGCATGAATAGAAGAATACTATATTTTTCTTTATGATCCACAGGTTCCAAATGTTAAAAAGGTCCAGAGGCAGCTAGGAAGTGATAGGTAAGTGTCAGATATTTCGTGATATAAAATGACATTTTGTTGAGTTTTTGAGAATTTTTTTTGGCCCATTTATGATTTCAAGTATGTACTAGTCAGCTAGGTATTTGAATTATTCACTGTAAGTTGTAATATGTACTTATATTTCAATTTATTGTAACATAATCGCAGTGTTTTAGTCTATGAGATAGTATTTAAAGCCCACCTTTTCCTTAAAGGTTCACTCCGATATTTATTTTCATATCGTAATATTTTGGTTGGTGGTTTTTCATGCTTTAAGTGTCATTTATTGGTTTTAATGTTAAAATTGCTAAGAATTTGCGATCGTAAAAAAAATCACAATGGAAAGTAATACTGTAATAAAACAAGGTGATTTATTCTTACTGTTACTTATTCGTCCAAGGTATTGTTAAATTATATTTATACCATAATGATTATAAAAATCTGTACGGCAACAAACCTTCGTGGGTCTGGAATTCTTATTGGATTTTGTTTTTTTGGATATGAACGATTTACTATGAACTAACTGTCAAAATTCATATGTTTCTTAATTATTAATATTTGATAAAATTTAATAGAGTTTCAACAAAAATCCGCCATTTTAAGTAAAGTATTTTCTTAAAAAAAATAATGCGCTGTTTGGCCGATTTGAGAAAAAAGGGTTTCCAGGAGTGTACATGGATTGAGAATCGCATCGTGATGTTGTAAGAAGTCATGGTTATTTCTGAAAATAGTTAGGAATTTAATAAACATATTTATCATCATTACAAAATTACATTTTCCAAAATTGTAAATTTCACACAATTACGTAGATAAAAACAAAAATGCATTTAATGACTGTGCCTTGGCCATACAGGAAAGATTTAGCAGTGGACATGCTTTAGAACGCCATTTTATATGATTAATGGCTAAAGTTTCGATACCCGTGGTCGGCACAGTCCATTATGTAACTTTGTACCTGACTACAAACAAGCAAACAATAGTGACTAAGGAATGAGAAATGGTTATTCATTATCCTAATGTTTATTTAGATATACAAAAATGGAACATCTTCATTATATGCATTTAGATAATTTGAGAACGTGTATGCGTTGTGGTTATACATTTAGATATAAATTACGCATACCTTTTTTAATTCGGTAAAATGGGTAAATAATTACCAAGCGCGATTTTTCGGCAATTGTATGTAACCCACGGACTCACAGTCCAACACTTTATCAACTAGGCTTAGCCCGGTCCACTGCAAATGGAAAATACGTCATTTGTCACAACTTTAATAATATTCCATACCAAAAATAACGAAAAATATATTTTGATGTGTCTCTTATTCACACAGATCTTATATTTATACAGAAGTTTCAAGAGTATACAGCATTGATGTTACTAATTTATTCTTAAAGCTGTTTAAAATAAAAAAATAAATAAATGTGAAGCCCAATCTATATTCGATCTACCACTCGTCACTAAACTATCCCGGTTCCTTCTACCTGAAACCGGTATAACTCAGTTACAAGTGATAAATCAGATAATACACAGAACTTCACGTTTATTTTTTAGAATAATATATATTTTATTTCATAACGTTACAACTAAATGTATGACAGAACTATTGATTACACGTGCTTTTCGTTAATGTTAAAATAAAATAAAGGCCGCTATGCATAAAAAAAAATTACAATTTGCTATACTTTTGTCAGAGGCACTTTGTTTCTGATTTAAGTTTTTAAAGCGTAACTAAGAGCGAGTTCAAGACCATCACTGGTTGTATACAACATTGTAGGTCAATTGCAATCACACTTGTCACACATTTCAACAAACTTCTTCAGGCTTCAACTAACTGGATTAAGTACAGGATGCTTGAAAATTGTAAGTATAGCTATATAATCGTGTAAACTAATGCGTCATATTCAAGACTTATATCAGCTTCATGTTACTTGTTTTTCTCAGATCCTTGAATAACACCCTATATAAAGAGAGAGATCGACAATCTTTGACTGATAATCTCTTTTGAGTATCTTTTCCTGCTGGGTTGACCTTTTGAAAATTCTATCACATTCCTAAAGTTGAGTGCAACTTGACCAATTATATTATTGGCTGACAACAACTTAAACCCAGTACCTTAACCCTACACCCCCAGCGAAGCCACCCATCCAACCCGATTTGCGGATTAAGACGGCAACATTGGGCCCTAACCAACAACATAAGTAAAATGACTAATCGACGTGTCAGTTACCTTTTAACAATATATCATTGCATGTTGCTTGTAAATGTTTTTGACTTCCACAACCACTTTTTAATCTTCTCAAAGTGAAGTTTTGATGAGTGATCCAACCAATCGCATTAACTGCCTTAGCGCACACAAAACGAATTGTTTAAAATAAATTTCAAATAACCACTTCATAAATACCAATAAAGATTAACCTATAAGCAACACACCATTCACTCAACAGAAGTGTTGTTTTGCGTCTTATATACGTATCTTACACAACCCACAAATCTAATTAGCCTACTTAAAAACAGAACCATTGTTATGATGAACATTAAAGGCCGTGTGTTATTGCTAAATTATCGAAGAAAAAATAATTATCCCATTGAAATATTATAGGTTTTAACACTTTAAATGCTCTTTAATCAATGAATACGAAGTTATTTAAAACAACTACATTAAAAAAAGGTTAATTACGTTAGCATACCCGAAACCTGTTCGAGTAGGACCTATTGTAAAACATCCTCTTCTCGGACAATCTAGTGAACGCTAAAACAACTATCCATGATCGTTTTAATGATATTCAGTCTTTGTGACATTTTCAGAATTATACTATTCCAGGACATAATGAATTGACGTGTAAGAACCTACATTTTCGAGCGGGAACAAAATACCTGTTGCATGTTCCACCTTTGTTAGTTAGCAGATCGTTGAGATATTGATTTTCTCAAGTGCTTTAGTGCAGTGAATAAAAAATATACATGTAGTAAATAGCCGAAACAAGTAAATTATTTGTAATGCCAAGAATGTATCCCATGAGTAACCCTTACCCTCTTTTTAGGGTCCCTTTCTACGGAGAAAATTGTTCCGTGTTCAGTAAACAGGGGTAGGGCTTGTGTATTTCGCATACTGAAGATATATATATATATATCTTATTATAGCGTATATAGTAACCTGTCAAGTTTTTAATATTTATGTCGTGATTGTGTGTTTGACCCAGGATTTCTTATAACGACCCCTTCCTAGAAAGTGTGGGTTTTCTCTGATGGTGTAGTTTCTGGCGCCGGATATGCTTCAAACTTATGATAAGACAGGCATTGTTTTTAAAGATTGATCTAATTCATCGTCAACTGTTTATTGATTCCTTTATGTCTGACTTATTTTTCTTGTTCCTCCATTTATCATCATGCCTTTCCTTATGACACAACTAGAGACTTAAGGCTATTCTTTATTTTCACAGCGCCGTGAGAAATCGGAGCTAAACATGTCAAGAAAAAAAAAAATCGGGTGTTATGATACGGCGAGATTTCCTGATTGATTCTTTACAGAAACTGCCGTTCACCTTGTTGTTATTGTGAAAAATACGCGGATCATTTTTGTTTTTTTATGCTAAGGGCCTAACTTAAAGTTAGTATCTACCGAAAGTATTTGTTTGTTTGTGAAATTCGCGAAAAGCTACTCGAGGGTTATCCATCTCCAAATTAGAAGTGATAGACTAGAGGGAAGGCAGTTAGTGAACATCACCCACTACCAACTCTTGGGCTACGAATAGTGGGATTGGCCGTCATATTATAACACCTCCACGGCTGAAATGGTGAGCATGATCGTTGATGGGATTCGAACTTGCGGCCCACAGATTGCGAGTCGAGCGCCCTAACAAACAGCCCATGCCTAAAGTCTAAGCATCATCAAAACAAAACAGCCTGCTATATCTTCCATTAACTGAAATATAGGGGGTCAATGAGACATATAATTGGGAAAAATCAAAAATTAGATTAATGGACGGCATTAACTTGAGGGGCAACGACATTTCAGAGAGAATCGCCCCTGATACACAGACAACTTAAAAACAATCGATTCGACTATCGCGATACGATTCTGCACACAGTTTTCGCCACTGTTCATTCTAAACGAAGTGTATAGTTGGATATACAGAAAATATTATTCATGACGAGATGGGTACCACAGGTTATACGTTATCCACATAGCGATCTTCGAAAGATCATTTTATTTCAGTAAAATTGATAGGTTATCGACGCAGCTCCGATTTCTAATGGCTTGTTCATGTAAGCAGCCCTCGAAGTCATTCTGATAAATCTCTCTGAGTTCTCAGAGCCCGATCCATAAACCCTTGTCGTTACTCTTAATATGCGTCACAAATCATGTATGTAATAAATGTTCAAGTTTGTTATAGAGACAGCCCACCAGCCGTTTAATCGGTATAAAAAGAAGCGGATTACTCTCGTTCCTCATATATAGGCATTAGATAAAGTAGTAGCCACCATTCGAAAAAAACAAACAAAAAAAAACCAGCTGTCATTTTTTAGTCGTAATTGTAATATCAGTAAATATTACGGTTTTTAGTGGTTCAAGTCTATATCTGAATGTGTCGGTATGTACTTGAATTTAAATGTACACATATTTAGTGAGTAGTTCTTATGAAAAAAGCAGGGAAGCTTTCTGGTATATAAGAATGACACTAAAAATTGAAGATAGAAAGGGACACATCAGGGTGGTTATGACTAGCTGCCTTCCCTCTATCTTGCACTGCTAAATTAGGGACGGCTATCGCGGATAGCCCTCGTGTAGCTTTGCGCGACATCCATAACAAAGAAACTCTTACAAAGTCATGCTTTATGCTTATCGTTGAAATAACCAGCTCTCTCCCACACAGTCGTATTTTCGACTTATTGTGCATGTGTGACATTATTTCGTAGTTTAAACCTGAGTGATTGCAACTAGTTCATGGAAAATACTGTTTCTAATCCGTAAAATTTTCATAGAAATATCTGCATCC